ACAACAGAAACTTGTTTATCCTATGATGAACATCTCAAAGTATGAGGAACAGATGACCTCAATATATCATTGTTGCCGACTATGAACTGTTCTACTGATGGGAAGAGACAAGTCCTACTTGGAGTTTTCATCTTTGTCATTTCTCGGCCAGTTTTAATTTTCCTGCAAGTCGTAAATAATCCCAACTGTATCCGATTGCGCGTCTTCTTATCTCTAGCAAATAGACTATGAATAAAACGAGAGCTAAAGAAATTAGTTACAGCACAGTCCGCGGAAAAAAGAGACAATTGCTTCCTGTGTAACAGTAATACATCTAAAAAACAACACATGCAAGTCGCAAGTCATTGTAATATTTTCCAACCCCTTCAGTATCAAATGTCTGACATATGAATTTTTTTAAACGTGAGGCTTGCGCAATGCAATTCTGAGGGAGATATTTTTTCTTCTGCAAAGTTTAGAAAAGGTGAGTGTTTGGTAAAGTATTTGGAACATTTTAACAATCCGTACAAACTATTTCTGTCACTAAACACTTTTTAGTGGTTAGTGAGAGAATTATTTTGGTACAAATTGTTCAACAAAATGGGATGATAACGCATTGCAATGACAGCTGATTATCCAGTAGAGAATCATTAAAACTTGCGAATCAAACGTTGCCAAAGATTCTTCCGAAGTATCTCTTTGGTGTTCACGATTACAATATTCTTTGGGGAGGATTTATTCCACAAACAATTATTCTCTCTGATAGGAGGATCTAAACAAGGTAATATTTTAAGGCAAGGTATATTTTTGTATGAGGTGTAAACCAAGGAACTTGTATGTTTCTGAGAGTAAAGGTATTTCCAGTAATGTCTGGAATGAATTATGTAAAGAAGAATCTATCAGCCAACTATTCCTCCACCACCATCTACCCTTCAGGCTCTCAACCCTTAAGCAAGTTCACCCAGTGCTCGACTGGATATAGATGACTAACTTGCACTCACCCCAATCCTTTATTGTTTAACTCTCAACGTCTTTAAACCGTCGATCAGATGGGATCCTTGAGGGTGAGTATATCCATTCATTGTAATAATGTTTAATTTGTCATATTACGATATGTCTCTCTTTCAACCAATGATAAATCTACCTTGTCACAAGTTCAGATGGAGCCGGTGGTGTACCCATGCCACTGCGTAATTAAAGTATGTTTAGAACACGAGGCTGCTCAGAAACTTAAGTAAACATCGTTTTTTAGATGTCTTTGCAGTGTTTAAACGTTATTGTCATTTAATATACATTATGTATATTATTTAAGTAGCCATGTTTATTCTAGTTTTAGTTTAATATATCATTTACATAGACGTGTTGATGTTCATTCAAAACGTTGAATTAGGGAACAAAACATGTAATATGTATATATATTACTTGTGAAAAGAAGGAACTATTTGGGTAACTGAACAAAGTAACATCTTTTATGAATAGGCTTGTAAGACATTTTAATATTAGCCTGTTGAATTGTGAATGTTTAACAAAATTTCATGACGACATGGTGTAGGTTGCTGAACTTCCTACAGGTTCGAAGCATTTGTGGGTGAATCGGAATCTTAGGATGCAAGGTTTGAATTTCAGCTTTTCACTCGTCATTCAACTTCGAGATTATTCACCTTGTTAACTTCACTCAGCTCCGTGATCACCCACCATGGCTTCATCAGTCAGTTTTGTGACCACACACTTCACTATCACCAGTCAACTCCGCGATCAACCGCCACGATATCATCAGTCAGCTTCATGATCAACCACTACGATATACATTAAAATCCGTGATCAACCACCTAACTGTCATCATTCATCTCTGTGTTCATAAGCAGTGATATCACCATTCAACACTATGTTCATGACTCATAATTTCATCACTCAGCTCCGTACTCACCCCAAGATAACATCATCTAACTTCGCGATCAATCACAATGGTTTAATCATCGCAATGCAATAGCTCCATCATTACGGTGAATGTGCAACACAGCTGTGAGATCACTGGATATATCCTACTTCCATCACACGCACTGCCGTTATATAACCAATGTACTTTACTCTAAAGCCACAACAAAGCAATTAGCGTGGAACTAACAAACAATATATTAGATGCAATCATTTGCAAACTAATTCCCTCGTCAGCAGCCTCCATCACCCCGTCACTCTTATCGCCGTCGACCCATTCTGTTCTGGTGCCTTCTGTTCTGTTCTGAAACGCTCTTCCCACATTTGTACGCTCTTTTTTTGTCCAACATTTCTCACCGTGTCCCGTTTTTCTTACCTGGTCCCTCTCTTCTCAGGCTGACATGCATTTCTCGCAATGTGACGCTCTTCTGACATGGTACACATTTCTCACCCAGTGATACCCCCCTCTCCTTGTCACACTTTTCTCCCCCTTTTCACATTTTGTCACGCTCTTCACACCTTGACACACTCTTCTCGCCTTGTAAGTCTTTTCCCGCACTGTGGTACTCTTGTCACATTGTCACACCTTTCTCACCATGTCACAGTTTTGTCACCTTGTCACTTTCTTCATCTTGTCAGAATCACCTTATTGAACTTTCACTTTTCTTACAATTAAGTAACCAGTGTTTGCTAATATTTGTGCATGCCGAAACCCTGTGGAATTGAGTTTAAGTAGCAGATTCGAGTTGTCTTAAGGCAGTACTTTTTAAACACGTAATAAATGAAATATTGTTCAGGGAGCGAAATCAAGGAAAACGTGTATTGATCTGGTATGAAAAGAAGTTTGGCTTTATAAAACCATGAACTTTAGTGGAAAAGAACGCACCTCAGAATTTGCCTCGTTACAGTCAATTTGTTTTCTCTCCAATTTGAAGGTCTTCTGTATAATGGTTAGTGTATTTTGGGTTTACTATTGTTTAACTGGAATTATATGTTTCAGGTCCTGCATCAAGCCTACCCCATGCATGATGCAGAAAAGTGGTTCCAGAAGAGTACATTGGGAGATAAGCCGATCACGCTCATAGATCTCGTTTTGACATATCAGACTTGGACGCAAACACAAAAGACTTTCCATCCAAGTAGCTAACAAAGTCTTTAGGGAGTAAATGAAATGCTGTCAACAGACAGCGATTGGCACAATATCCGAGGTATTTAGCCGTGGCCTGGATTAATTCTAGACAAGATATTTCATCAGATGTCACAGAACGGCACATTGTAGTATAATTCTTTATATCTAACGGAAACGGTGTGATGTAGGACGAGTAAGTAAAATTGCAATCCGTCATCGATGCTGTACAATTATACTTGTACAATCTGCTTTTAAGTCATCATGAATTAGACCTTTCACGAAACAGATTCGCTGAACCAACTTTCTTAAACATATAAAAAACAAGTGCATATTCAACATTCATGCCAATGTATAATTAAAACATCGGGGGAATGGTCCAAAACAAAACCCGAAAACACTTTCTTTTTGCAACAATAAAGCGACCAGACTGCATGAGGAGATAAGGCAATTTTAAGCTTCACTGCCTCAATGATGGGCAATCAAATATTGTTTCCCTCAATGATCTATTAGTAGCCTACTGCCACCCGTTCCACGCATGGAATATGCGAGCAATCATATATTTTTCATTCACGCGTGCGCGCTCGTGTAAACGGATGCACGAATGGGTATTGTCGAGGTGGTATGTTCGTGAAGTTTTCTGAGCCATTACACATGACTGCATAACCAGTCTGGCATATCTGGAGCAAGATAAATGTTTAACACTGGGTTGTCTTTCACTGCACGGAGAAGTGTATAAGTAATTTATCCTCATACTTTCTTGCGTGTGTCGGTCAATACATTACACCAAAAGTGGCTGAGTTTCCTTCCTTCAAGTTTTTCTACCATGTCATTTCAGTATCATGCATTCTGATTGTCCCCACTAGCAATCATCGAATCTGCTATGAACCTGGAATGAGGACAGGGGAATTGAAGAAACAATGCCTGTGAGAGCAAGTTTTCACCAAAACCTGGTTTTACCTCATTAACGAACTGTTTCGATAATAATTAAAGCAAACTTGAGTAACAACGTTGAACTCCTCGGCGAAGTGTACATAATATAAGGAACGGCAGAGTGCACGTCTCCAGTTACAAAAAGAATATAAAGTAAACTGTAGTTGTATCGAACTGAAAGGGACTAATTTTAGGACGTGTTAACAGTAGTTCGTTATACACATTTCAACTAACATATACAACAAGTAGGCGAGGAAAAAGAGTACTGAAACTGAATAAAGCCTACAGTCATCAAAGGCATTACGATGGGACAAAATGTGTGCCAGCTACAATAATTAACATACCCAAACATATTGGACAGTGGATTCACGAATGTCCAGGGGCGATGGGGCAGGCTAGTGGTTAAAGCGTTTGCTCGTCACACTGAAGATCTTCACATGGGTACAATGTGTGAAGCCCATTTCTGGTGTCCCCCGCCGTAATGTTGCTGGAATATTGCTAAAAACGGCGTAAAACCATGCTCACTCACTCACTCACGAATGTCCAGTAAATCGGAAGTGATTGACTGTGAAATGAAAAGTTCAGGGATGATATCATGAGGGTAGATACAATGGCATGGGGACCTATATTGAAGGATGTTACAGATATGTTTCACTTTGACTTGTAAGTTTTCAGTTTCAGAATGTGTGATGATTCCGGAGGCAATATAGGATCGGGGAGTGTTTGTCTAAAGGACTCACACCTAAAGGATGAAGTGGACTTGATTGGCAACCTGACTGATCGGACATTATGCCTAAATGACCTGGTCCATGATGGATGGGGCATAGCTGGAATATCGCTAATGCGGTACGCAACATTCAATATAATAGCTATTTTTGAGTCACTGTATCGGAAACTTTTCAATTACTTGAGTAAGGAAAAATAAATCAAAAAGAAAGATATTTCATTCATTCATATATCAACCGTCCCTAAAGACGAAATCGTGGAATTTTATGCATCCTTCCAAAAATAGAAGAATTTTAAGAACTGTTGACTTGCAAGTTGCAACGCATATCAATTCTGAGATGTCGATTTGCAAAAAAAAAAATAGAATAAAAAGGGGAAATCGGATTAATTCGGCTGTAAATATTTTTCACAAAACAATTAACTTAATAAAGCCCCTTTCACAAAATGAGACATTTGTCATTTCTGCCCTCAAGGTTACGGAAACCTTCTGAAGTCAGCTTTACGATCCAATTATGAGGTATTGTTGTCATTATTCGGGGACCTGTTACTTTAACAACTGTGGACATTTGAAATATTCGAGGTGGAAAATAAAGAAACGGGAATAGAAGGATTTGTTTGATATTTATTTTTACCTTTCACGACCAGGATGCCTGGCTACTGGTGCATTATATGACGATAATGAATGAAAACATGGTGTTATTTGTGTTTCCTTCCTTTAATTCCTGCTTCGAATCATAAAAGATTCTCGAATGGATTGATCGGAAAACGCTCAGTTCCTTCACTCAAACGTCAAGTCCTTGCTGAGGGACTGGTTGAGGAATGGCAATGTGGTCCAGCAGCCCTCATTATACGTTTCCTTTTCGGTGTCGATTTATTGCATGTCAGAGTACCAATGGGTGAGAAACACTTCACTGATATCAACCGCAGGTGCTTGAGAACTGAGGATATGCCGTTATTGATGACAGACAAAGGGTAACTGAAGATGAAGACATCCCGTTATCGACAGTTAACTGCAGCAGGCTGCAAATGAGAGGACCCGTTATAGATGAGTGAGTGAGTTTATACTTAACATCACATCGGCAATATGTCACCTATATCGTGACGAAAACAACTTTGACGTCGATAATTAATACGTGGTTGCCATGCAACCTGTCGCTGAAAGACAGTAAAACATCTAGAGTTGAACAGATAGAATTAAAACTAGCATGTAAAGTTAAAACTAATAGTAATATTCGGACAATACATAATAGAAAACAGACTATAGATCACCAACACCTGAAGGTAGATCACCATACTAGGGTCAGCTTCTTTACTATGGCGATCACGACGTTTTGGAGTATATTCTTACTCCTTCAAAACGAGGAGACGTGGTTATAGTAAACTATAGTGGTTGCAAACTCAAGAGACCCTGGTATTGTCACTGAACAATAGGTGGTGTCAAAATGAAAGAGACTGACAGAAAACAGAAGGTAGTTTCAAAGCGTGGAGATGCCGTCATTGACAACTAATAGTAGATGGTTGTAAAATGAGGAGACGTGATTAGTGACCATTAATTATAACTAGTTACAAATTCCCTAGATCCTATAACTATTACTGACAGTAAAGAAAAGGTAGATTCAAATTGCGGAGACTCTTTTTTGACTTCTAACTGTGTGTTGTTGCAAAATGAGGAGATAAGTGTATGGACTGAAAAATGTGTTTTGTCCACGTCAATGTCGGAATTTTGAGGATATTGACAACTTATCAGGAAAATGAACACTTGACATCACTTTCACAACTGTGTCTTTGTTAGAAATTAGATATTACATTACGACAGTTGGGATGAAATACTTACACTGTATTCATGAAATATGCTAAAAAGTGAGTGAGTTTAGTTTTACGACGTTTTTAGCAATATTCCAGCAATATTACAACTAGGGAAACCAGAAATAGGCTTCACATATTGTAACAATGTGGGAATCGAACCCGCACCTTCAGCCACTTGGCTAACCCACCGCTGAAATTTTGACATGAAAGGGTCATGAATAATGTTATGTGTCTTTTCAACGTCGGTAGGTATGAACAATTGACACAATAACCTGAAGTTGAAAATGAAGCCGACACGAATATGAAACCAGCACAGATTGATTTTACTGTCTGCAGTCAAATTGGATTTTCCTCGTCAAACCCGTTCGCCCTTAAAGCAAACAATTAAACTCAAGTTGAATTCGGCTTAAACAGTCTGCGTGGGACACATCGTACAAACCTATATTGGTTTCTTGATCGAGTAAACACATTACTTTGACGTAAGTCCGACACTGTAGGTAGAGACATGGATGATTGTGAGAACAATAAGAAAATCCCTGGACACTGAACAAAACGAGTTTAATGTCATAACCTTTTTGTTTTATGACAGCTTACAGAACACCCTGGGCATGTATTTGTTTGGACTTGCGTAGGCGTTTGTATACCATGAAATTCAAGACATTGTTAATGTGTACATGGTTTGTTCTCTAGACTCGTATGCGAATAGTGTAAAGCATCCATGTCTCCATTTGTACAGGAGTTGATGTGTGTTCATGATAGTGTCTAATCCGCATTTCTTGAGGAGGAAGCAAACTTTTGAACATGTGTGGCTTGTTGGTCTGTTTCATAAATTGTACTTAGATTTCTTTGATACAGCTCTTATCCTACAGTTCTATATAAACACATATTAGTTTTGCTGGTTTTAGTATGGTTCATTTACCCTGCCTGGCTCTGGGTACATGGCTACTGTTTGTGATTACGTATGTAAGTTTCTGGCTTTGGGCAATGTTTTCCCCAGGGAATGTCTACCAAGATGCTACCAGTGGATGACATTTATATACTGCTAAGTAATTAGCCAGCATGTCTTCAGTGACAACTGAATGTGAGTTAGTGAGTTTTACGCCACACTCAAAAATATTACAGCTATATGGCGACAGACTGTAAATAATCGAGTAAATAATTCCTCGGCAAACCCGTTCGTCCTTAAAGCAAGCAATTAAACTCAAGTTGAATTCTTCTTAAACGGTCCGCGTGGGACACATCGTGCACACCTATATTGGTTTCTTGATCGAGTAAACACATCGCTTTGACGTAAGTCCGACACTGTAGGTAGAGACATGGATGATTGTGAGAACAATAAGAAAACCTCTGTCTCCCTGAAAGTGAACAAAATCAGTTTAATTTGAATGAGTGAGTGAGTTGAGTTTTATGGCGCATTTTACCTATATGGCGACAGTCTGTAAATAATCGAGCCTGGACCAGACAATCCAGCATGATCAACAGCATGATCATCGATCTGCGCAATTGGGAACCGATGAGATGTGTCAACCAAGTCAGCGAGTCTGACCACCCGATCCTGTCAGTCGCATCTTACGCCAAGCATGGGTTACTGAAGGTTTATTCTAACCCGGACGTTCACGGGTTAAGTGTATGCAAATAAATGGCAACTAAATATTATTTACATTTCGATGGATTGTGCACCTTGTTTGTTTTCTTGATATGTTCGCGAATAGTATAATGCATCCAGGACTACATTTGTCATGCTGATCAGTTGATGAAAAAGACACGGGTCATGGCCTGGTTCACCATAATTATGGATAAGGATAAAAGCGTTTAACCATGTGTAACTAGGTATGTTATTAAGTGGAGCTGAACTCCTCTCTGGCAAACAATAAAAGCTATTAAGAACTATATGTCAAAAGCTATATAATGAAGCCGGTATAAACAATAGCAATCAAAAGTGGATTCAATTTATGGAATCTCGTTTTGAAACTGCTGTAGGTTTTTCTGGCTAAATCAACAAGCTGTCTTTCCCAATGTACTTAAATCTCCTTAAGGATGCATGACATAGTAACTCAAAAATGGAGATGTCGAACTCTTCTAAAGCTTCCGCTTATTGCAGATTTAGATCTGAACTTGTCATTGAAAACTATTTGTTTGACATATATCTCTTCGGCTCCTAAATTCTTCTTGCTTGGTAGGCAACAGTATGGACGGTTAGATACAATCACTGTGGAGATTTGAACACTGGAATTACAAGCAACAAAGTACACAACTTAACTTTATTATTAATGTATATTTATATAGCGTCAATATCCAGATCACCTGCTCAAAGGCACTTTGTTTTTTCCCCGATCATTGGATGTCAGTCTCAAACGGCATAATGTATTATCAATATCAACTCCCTAGGGATCATACAACTCTTGCTGCCACTAGGAGCACCGAGCTAAGGTGGTTTTCCCATCCTTACGAGGTACCCATTCACAGCTGGGTGGACTGGGACACGTAGTCACAGTATTTTGTCCAAGTTTACTGCACGTTGCTGAACCCGCAACTAGGTGTTTGCACGTATTCGTAAGCCACCATCTAGTCATATGCCAACGGATTCGTTGGTTCTTTTACGTGCACAGGGCTGTGTACTGTACACTAGGGGTTGTGACAACACTGATAGAGTCTGCACACAAAGTTGACTCCAAGCTTTTTACACCCGGTCACAGGTGGGCTCGATCCCGTCACCTCAAGCTCGCTGGATCACTAGCCTGGCGCCTAAGCCAGCTCGCCGTCAATCCCCCCGATTGTACAAGGGAAAAACGTGATTAGCGTTGCATACCCACCAAAATCTCTGGTTCAGTGCCCATGCCTTCTCACTCATATCAAGGGGTTAGCAAATACACGAAATCTGCATTTTGTGAACAGTCTGCTTTTATCTAGACATGATAAAATACACTGGGTCAAGCCACTGCAATTTGTAAAATTTGGGAGATAAAGATACAAATCGATAATCAAGACAACTGAATATTCAGATATGTTTAAGATTTAACCCTATACGGACACTGTTAACAGATTCACTGTCACTGTCCCATTTATCATATTTTCACTGATACGTACCTTTTGCTCCAAGTGGAATAAGTTTCCGTGGATGATGAAGATTAATCCCATTGACTGATCTGATCACACTCGCCATGGCATTAGCTCTTCATCGAATCAGCTCTCACCTTGTCACACTCTTCTGACATTGTCACACTTTTCTCACCTCCCCACTCTCTTCTCATGCTGACATTGTCACACTTTTCTCACCTCCCCACTCTCTTCTCATGCTGACATTGTCACACTTTTCTCACCTCCCCACTCTCTTCTCATGCTGACATGCCTTTCTCACTCTTCTTACACTGATACACATTTCTCACCTTGTGACATTCCTCTGTCCTTGTCAGTCTTTTCCTCACCTTTTCACACTCTGGCACGCTCTTGTAACTTTGCCTCACCCATCACACACTCCTCATCTTGTTACTTTCTCCTTCTGACATTGTGACACTTGTTCACCTTCTCACAATTTCGTCACCTTGTCAGACACTCTCTTCATCTTGTAAGCATCACATATTGTACTTTCAATTTTCTTGTTGTTATAATTTCGTCCGTTGTCACCATGATTGTTCATGCGTGCTCGCTAATGTTGAGCACCTTGGTGGCAATATTACTTTTCACAGGATTTCCTTCTATTAATGTTCCTGCAATTCCTATCACAAGGACTACCTCTATTGTACAGATGTTTGTGA